CACTTGGTCAGGTCTACACTGTCCACATACTTTGTAACCATATGGTCTATATTTCTTGACCATCTGGTCTACAGTTCTGGGACATCTGGTCTACACTGCATGCCACCATCCACACATTTTCTGTGTGTGCATATCTAGTGGATATGTCCTGACTATCTGTATTTCCTAACCATCTGGTCTACACTTCTTGACCATGAGGCCTACATGGCATACCACCATCTATACACTTCCTCACCATATGGTCCATACTTCCTGGACATCTGGTCTACACTGCATGCCGCCATTCACACACTTACTAATCTTGTAGTTTATATACTTCCTGACTGTCTGATCTATGCTGCCTGACCACCTGGTTTATACTTTCTAACAGTTGTCTACTTTTTTKGGGGGGGCAGGGGGGACAGATGGTAGAGGGGTACTTAACCACTGAGCCAACCACTGAGCCACATCCCCAACCCTTTTAAATTTTTTTGTTTGTTTGTTTGTTTGTTTTGTTTTGAGGTGGAGGAGATGTTTAGGTCCTCACTAAATCTCAGAGTCTGGTTTTGAATTTTCAATCCTCCCACCTCAGCCTTCCAAGTCACTGTAATTGTAGGCATACACCACCTTACCCAGCAGCTGTCTACTTCTTGACCATCTGGTCTGCGTTTCCATTTACCATTTCTGGTCATCTCTCACGCGGGACTTGCTCTGTGGCTCCCACGTCAGCAAAACAGGACATTCTGACAGSGCAGATCTGGCTGGGGCAGGGCTCCTCTAATGGAGCTCTCACCACTTGACTTACGGGATGGGACCTGCTTCTCATGGAGAGTAAGAGACTACATAGTCCTTTTCTAGGCGAAGCACTGGGCAGAATGCCGTCCTCATAGGCTTGCAAGGGTTGCTTATAGAGTTTGACTCCTATCCCATGTCCATCTGTCCATCAGYTGAGTGCTCTATATTGCCCCATGCTGAGCAAACAAAGTTGGTGGGGGATGGGGACAGGAGCAATTACCAGGAAAGTGGGTATGGGTGAGCAGGGGTGGACACCTGACCTAAGTTGGGTGGGAAAGGGAATCAGGTAGGGGCTGCCAGGAAGGGGGACATAACAAGGTCTTGCAGACACTTGGCCTGGCAGAGAAGAGGGTTAAGGATGGTGTCACCATGCTCAAAGGCTCTGGAGGCATTTGCTGAGGCCCAGTAGCACATGAGGAGACGTATAGCTGGGGCAAAGGGGACGGTCGGGTCTCATCTTCACACCCCAGCAGTGAGCATACGCAAGGGGATTTTGAAGAGGGAAGAAACCCACCAGATTTCATCCTAAATCATACATGTGCTAGCAAGTCCCCCCAGGAGACCAGATAGGACTGACAGAAGGACAAGCTTGCCCAGGGCCAGAGACGAGGCCAGAGTGAGGTTGAAACAAGTTACTGGTGTCAAGACCTGCCCTTCATGTCCAGAGRTGCATGGAGGCTGTGGAGCTGAGGTAGGTGTGGACAATGACAGGTGACAGGAGGACTCCTACCAGCAAGTCTTTAGTCCACTGGGGCAGGTAGAAGCAGTCCCAGCGCTCAGACCAGGAGAGCTGAGGTCTTTGCACTCCCAGGGTCTCTCCTGCTATCACCTGGGGGCCAGGTAATACTGCATGTTAGGGTCTCCCTGAGTACTGTGGGGTGTGGTGCAGCATTGTTGCCTCCAGCCATTGAATGCCAGAAGTACCCCCACCCCTCATCACAGTGTCCCCAGATATTGCGAAATGTGTCCGAGAGTAAGATTCTGCCTCCCAATTGCATTGGCTTAGCACATAATGAATATCTGATGTTGTTTGTTTGGCTTAACTGAATAGAAATCCCAGTGTGAATCACAGATACTGGATAAGAAATTCTTTATCCTACTTAACTGAACTCATTTCCAACATTTATTGAATATTGCTAAATATTTCTATCCATCTTGGCAAAATTGACTATATAACTTGCAAATCAGCTTTTATTGAAGACTATTTGGGTTTTGACAAAAAAAAAATTTCAAAAGGATGGATTTGTCATTGTGCCTGTGAGCACCCTTGGCAATCAGCCTGCAAGCTTCTCAAGGACAAGGCTGAAGTGCCACTCAGCAAAGCAGTGAAAGCCCAGAGGTGTGGCTGGATGGAAATCTGGGCTGCACTACTTAGCAGCCTGCCACCAAATTTTCTATGCACCAGGCTATTCTGCAAAATGGGGCTGTGTTCAGGCCCCTTCTCATGAGAGAGCAAGAACTGAAAAAGGCATGTGATCATATGATAAGCAATCACTACATTTATTATTTTGTTTGCTAGAGGAGTAGRTAACACTGAATAGGCAATTATTAAGTCCTAGCATGGCCCACATGTGAATTTAGTGCCACAAATGTGCATGAAGAAATAGAAATAGAGCTTTACTACTTAGAACTCAGCCTAACCAGTACAGGGAGCCCTCGTTCCGCAGGACGGAGCACATCTTCTGTCCATCWAACACCCACTTCCCACAGCACAGCATTACATCTGTGTTTGGAATCACCCAAGGCCCTGCTTCATCTCCAGGCTGTTAACCACCCAGGTTGACTCTAACCTATCCTGCCTGTGGCCCTTATGTACCTAAGCTCAAGTTTAATTTAAATATGCACTTACAGATTTGTTAAAATGTCATTTGAGAAAGAAAGAAAGAAAGAAAGAAAGAAAG